CTGTTCATAGGGAGTTTTTCCTCTCCACTGTCGCTACAAGTATGCCTAGTGTGAGGGATTGTATTTGAGTCAATGAGTCAAAGCAATCAACTGGTTTTCCTTAAGATAGAAAACTTTGAATCAATTTGACTGTATGATCTGGTTGAACTGTAAAGTGCCTTGAGATGACTTGTGTTGTGAATTGGCGCTATAGAAATAAACTGAATTGAATTGAATTATGCAGGTGTGGAAGCAGATTTCTAGGAGTAACTGTAGATCTTCTGTGTTGTCTATTTTTGCTGCTTTGTTTTATTTGTTCTCTTTCCATGCTTTCTTCCCACTTTCCTGTTGATCTTTTTCTCTCCTCTTAGCCCCTATTTATTTCTCACCTCCCTTTCCGTCTCCATGTCCGTTGTATAGATCTTACTCCCTAAATCATTTTCAAAAAAGTTTCATATTTATGTACCAAGCGCAATCCTATGGCAACAAACACAATGGTCTGCTTGTGGTAGCAAATCTGTTAGGCTATCATCTAGCTCTGGGACATCAATTCCCAGAGCTATATTGGCATCTGAATCATTATTTACACTTAAGAATAAAAATAATCATTTAAAAACCTTTGTTGTTATTTTTGTGTTTACTAAGTTGTTTTCGTTCAATGTGTTTTTTTTAAATCTGAGGATCTGAAACATATAGGTGAATATAGGTGATATATAGAAGCACAAGCAAAATAAATTAGAATGAATACTTGATCAAGTCACTATAACTGGTGCTGCTACTGTCCTCACATTTTGGGATCCATTTCTTACTGGCTGCAAGTGACAAGGCACTCCCTAGTTTCACCTTGCTGCACATTCCTGCAAGGAGATGCTGCAAATGCAATTTGCACACACTGAGGCCAGCATGTGCATATATCGGAATAATGTCTGTTATGTTGGATGAGAGCGAGCTATGGGATCAGTGACATTTTCTGGGCTGGGTTCTAAAGAATTTAAGGATGTGCAGCATTTTTTTTTTCAGGGCCATTCAACATGCAGTGTCATGTTAAAAAGCATAGCTCTAATTTCCATGCCAAATTATCAACACAAGACCATATCTGCTTCTTTTTTTCAGTTGGTGGGAGGTCATAATCAGTAAATACAGGACGGCTGATAAGGCGTCTAAAGAACCACAGCCTCAGATAACTGCTTGTATGAATGGAGAAGCAGCAGCACCAGGCCTGAGCTCCCAGCGCCACCAGAACCCTCATTACGCATGAGTTTCGCGGCGCGCGGCCAGTGCGTCCTTTAGACTAAATATTGCGTAATTGTCCATGATGCTGCTCAGAGTTAATACTCACGGTGTGCATCTGTCACTGTATTCATTGGCCACCGTTTCAATGCCACCGCTCCTGGCCACAGCGATGTAACAGTTCTGGAAACCCACGTCGATACCAACCACTGACATGATGAGCACCACAATATGAGTTTTCCTGCGCAAAAGCCGCACTGACACGAGGGAAAAACAACAAAAATAACCAGTTCTGCACACAATCCAAGCTTCCTTGGTGCTGAACAAAGTGAATTACTGGCTCTTATGTAAGCTGCGCTGTTTATAGCAAACTCATTCAGAGTAATCCCTGAAGAGGCAAGATCCAGAGAGGATTCTCCAACTCTGAGGCGGCCCTAACATCACCCAGCGCCACTGACGGGTCATGATGCTGCGGGAATCCGCCCCTCCAAAGCTCTCCGATTGGCTGCGTCCAGCTCAGAGGGCCGTACGTCATTGGTGCATCACCAAATCGATCAGAGAACGATCTAGAACCTCACTGTGAAAGTGGAGCTTGCTTACGTCACATATGCAACGCGGCGACGTCGCGATCACGTTTTGCTCTGAATTAAGCCTGTCAGGTGAGAGCTTCTGCCCTCACCTGCCTGAGAGCGGACTACCCCACGCATCCTCCCACGCTCATACACCGCTTTATAGTGGCAATAGTACAACACTGCGTGGAGCTTATGCTAGAGTAATGCTCCAAATAGTAAATAAATGTATATAACTATATAAAAGCATTGATTTGAGCAAGTTGAGCAAAATCTAAACCTTATTTCTCTTTCAGCCACCATTTAGGAAGTGGAAATAACGACTGCTCTGGTAATCATTTCTGGATAGAATAGAATAGAATAAAATAGAATTAGAATAGAATATAACAGAGTAGAATATAATAGAGTAGAATGAAATGGGATGTAATAGAATGAGAATAGAATAGAATGTGATGGAATAGAATAGAATAAGAATAGAATAGAATGGAAGGGATTGGGATGGGATGGAATTGAGC